AAGACTTGGCCAGCAAGTGATGGAGGATGCGATTGTCGAGCTGCAATGTGCTGGCCTTCGTCTTCCCCGCCGAGAAGGGAAGCTGGCCTGGCCGAGCGAGGCAGGTGTACAGTGTTTTGAAGTTCACCCCCTCTAGCTCGAGAAGCTCGGTGACGTAGTCCCTGTCATCGACTAGGCCGAGGTCGAGGGCGGCCGCCAGCTTGTGGTAGCTCATGGATCGGGGTGCACCGCCGAGCCTGAATTTGAAGGCTTCTCTGTCCTTCCAATTCTCCGTGTCGGTGTGCTGGAAGGTCTTGTAGAACTCAAGCACGAGCTCGTGGTAAACCTTCGCGCGAATGCAGAGTAGGCGGCGCCAGGGGCGGTTGGTGACAATGGCGGAGAAGTGCTCGTAGCAGTTCAGCTTCTCAAACTCCCGCTTGGACCAGCAATGATGCTGCCCAAACTTGCAGGCCAGGACGCTCTTAAAACGATCCTGGTGGGGTCCCCTCCTCAAATCGCGAATAAAATGGTGCTTGAGGTCGGGCTTCGTCATGCTCCTGCAAAAGAACAACCCAAAGTGGAACCAAAAGAGCCAAAGGAAAGGTTAATCACACCCCCACACTTAAGAACAGAAAACAGCCAAACCATGGTATCATCCATAGTTCGGGGGTCAAGAACTCGATCAAACAAGCATTATCGGGGTGGGGGTGCACATCCATGAAAAAGTAGGCAACTCAAGGTTCACATCCATAGCAAACACACCCTCAAAGCACAACATTAAGGGCTCCAACCGACTCCCACAAAATGGTACAAAAACAGGCATTTCATCGAACACCTTGTGTGCACTATTAAGGTAAACATGGAATTGACAAAATTCTTGCACACAAGGGCTCAAACAAGCAAGGGGGACAATGCCCAACACAATTCATACATAATCCAAGCATTCCCCTCAATCAATTGCACATAATTCACATGATTCAAAGAGGTTCTCTAAACATGCACCCTTACACCCAATTCTCCATAAATAACATAGTTAAGGTCAAAATCAAACCTGGAGACTCAAGTAGAGGTGTAGGGGATGATGAGGGGAAGGCAATGGAAGCGACGAAAGGCCGAAAAACTGCCCGGAAGAGCTCGTCGGAGTCTCGCCGGAAATCGCCTCCGGCGACTCAAAATCAAGCCAAATCACATCAAAATCGAGGGATAGGCCGATAATGGGGGGGGGGGGGGAAAGGGTGGGTGTGGTGTTGGATTTGTGAAAAGCCGACCAAAAATAGCCGAAAATCGACAATGATGGCGAAAAGTCGCGATTTTCCGGCGAGGGGGAGAGGATTCCGGCGAGTGAAGGTTGAAATTTTGACCACTGGCCGTGTCGGCCGAATTTATAGCCCGTGGCTCGGCCACACGGGCAGGCTCACACGACCGTGTGAGGTGCACATATGCTCGTGTCGGCCGACACGGGCAGGCCGAGGAAATCCACACGGCCGTGTGCAAAGCACACCTGGCCGTGTGAAAAATAACGAGAGCTCACACGGGCAGGGGCCAACTTCACACGGCCGTGTGAGGGACCCCTCTTGCCCGTGTGAAAATTCCAGGGAATCCACACGGCCAAAACCCATTTTCACGCGGCCGTGTGACCTTCAGGGCTGGCCGTGTGGGCTGCCAGAACTTCGAATTTGACCTGTTTTCACTCCAGAACGACATACAACTCGTGAACAACCCCTCAAGACTCAAAAACACAAAAAATCAAAAGAAAAAAGGTAAGAAAATGCAAACCTAGGTGGGGTTGCCTCCCCACAAGCGCTTCTATACCGTCTTTTAGCTGGACACCAGTAGGTGGATGCTCAGAGAGGTGTAGGAGCAGGTGCCTTCAAGAGAGGATCCACCTCGCTCTTGAGGTACAGCTTCAGATGGTGGCCATGCACCCGACGAATGTGGCCACCAGCATTTGCCAACTCGACTTGGCCATCCGGCAGGATGCAAGCGAGTAAATACTCTGATGGCCAAGGTGGGGGCGGGACCAGCTCATAGTGGTCTCCGGCTTTCTTTCGAGCAGGCTTAGCTGCCTGCAGTTTCGGCCGCCACTCCTCCTTGATCTGTTCTTTCGGTAATGGAGTTGACGGGAGTGGCGGCGAAGGAATGAGAGGCGGATCCTGCAAAATGGGAAGCACAGAAGGATACGCGACAGACTCGTGCTCCTGGTGAGAAACAGCATGCACAGGTGACGAAGCAGGGAGAGTATTAGCAATTGAAAACGTTATTCTCTCCTCGCCATCCCTCAAAACTAAGGTCCCTTCATGCACATCTATGAGAGCCTTGGCGGTGGCTAGGAAAGGCCTTCCTAGTATAAGGGGCACTTCTGTGTCCTCATTGATGTCCAAGACAACAAAATCCACAGGATAAATGAATTTTCCAACCCCAACCAGAAGGTCTTCCACTATGCCCCTAGGATGTACTATAGATCGGTCAGCTAATTGAACACTCATCCTAGTTGCACGGGGTTCACCTAGGCCTAGTTTCTTGAACAATCGATATGGCATGACATTGATACTAGCACCTAGATCCTCCAAGGACCTCTCTACATGCAATTTATCTATAGAGCAAGGGATAGTAAAACTACCTGGGTCCTTCTGCTTGGCGGAAGCTTGTTCTGTAGAATGGCCGAGCACTCCTCGCTGAGCTCCACAGTGGCCAGCTCGCTCAGCTTCTGATTCTTTGAGAGAAGATCTTTCAGGAACTTCGCATACTTAGGCATTTGAGATAGTGTCTCCAGGAAAGGTACTTGGACATTCAGCTTCCTAAGCATGGACATGAAGTTCCCGAACTCTGCCTCCAGCCTGTCTTTGTGCAACCAAGTAGGGAAGGGGAGTTGAGGGATATACTCCTTCACTACTGGTTGCGGTTTAGGTGCAGGCACCTCAACCTCCTGCTCCGCTTCTTCTTCAGCCGCTGGAGATGCTAGGGCAGGGGCCTCTCTCTCTTGTGCCCGAACAGGTGAATTAGTAGTCATCTTGCCACTCCTGGTTGTGATGGCATTGCAGTGCTCATTCGGGTCCTTCGGATTAGGAATGGTATGACCTGGAAAGGTACCTGGAGCCCTTTGCGCCACTGCTTGAGCCACGCTCCCCAGCTGGGTTTGGATATCCTGCAGGACAGCCTGTGTGTTCCTCTGGCCAACTTCAAGAGCCAGGAATTTACCCGAGGCCTTTTCCATGAACTGCTCGATAGTGTTGAATTTCTGAGCACTAGAACTGGCGAGAGAACCCACCAAGTCCCGCAGTTCAGCAATCGGATCATTCTGCACTGGGGTGGCAGGGGCTGCACCTGGCTGCTGGAAAGGTCACGGTTGTGATTGAGCCGCATGCCCCTGCATGGGCTGGTAGAGAGACTGCTGTGACTGCTGCTGGAATTGCCCCTATTTGGGCTGGAACGGTGGCCTCTGGAAGCCAGGTGGTCCCTGGGGGACTGGTGGTCTGGAATTTGCCCCACCCCAGGAGAAGTTGGGATGCTGGCGCTACCCCTCGTTGTAGGTGTTACTGTAGGGTTCATTTTGCCTAACATTATTGATGAAGTTCACCTGCTCCTGGGGTGTGGTCGATTCCTTCATCGCCTGGCAGTCTTCCACCGTGTGATGGGTGCTCTCGCACCACTGGCGGAGCATCGCCTGTTGCTGTCCTGTCCCTGGAATCATCCCAGAGTGATCGATGGCTGACACAAGCTTCGACACCACCTGCACCAAATCAGAGGACTGTGTGGCTACAGAATGCACACCCCGCCCTGGTGCTCGTCTCGATCTCCTTGCAATTCCCCAATCATATCCGTTCTCTGCCATCTCCTCAAAGAGTTGATTCAGTTGTGGCGGTGTTTTGGTCAGCATGTTCCCGCCACAAACCGAGTCAATCAGCTGCTTGTCTTCTGGGAAGAGGGCGTGATAGAAGGTTCCCACCTTGAAAGCATCGTTGAAACCATGATTGGGATACCTCAGGAAGAGACTGTTGTACCTCTCCCATGCGTCCCGGATGGTCTCATCTTCATCCTGGATGAAGTGGGTGATCTGCTTCTGCAAGTTCGCCAATTTTGACGGAGGATGATAGCGGGTGAGGAACTTGTCCGCCAGGTTGGCGAACGTGCTGATAGAGCCTGGAGGTCGAGTATCTAGCCACTCCTTGGACTGCCCCTCTAGGGTGAATGGGAAGTACCTCAGCTGGATGGCATCTGCTGGGACCCCATTTATCTTGATTCCATCGATGAGCTCGTGGAATCGCCTGAGATGTGATCGGGGGCACTCCCCCTCTTTGCCTCGGAACACTACCGAACCGCGCAGCATGGTGATGACGGAGGTGCTCACCTCAAAATTATTGGCTGGGACATGAGGGTGTTGAATGGGTGACCTCAAGTCCGCAACCCTGGCGGTCCAGTAGTATCCCATGGTGTGCTCCTCGGGAAGGACCACATCATGGTCCTGTGGATCACCCATCTCTTCTTCTTCTTCGATCTGCAGCTGTGCTAGCGCCTCCTCCGCAGCCAGTCGCGCCTTTAGAGCCCGCTTGAAGTTCCTGCAGGTTCGTTCAAGCTCCTGGTCTAATGGTAGTAGATCTCCCGACTGGCTACGGGTCATGCACTACCTGCACACAATCAGCAGAAGCAACCCGTGAAGGCACACAGGTGGAAGAGATAAAATGCAGTAAAGAAAAAGCTAGAGTAACAACTTTTCACGTTTCCCCAATAACCTACAGGTTCCCCGGCAACGGCGCCAAAAACTTGACACGCCAAAACACAACACCAAACTGCGACCAAGTGTAATCGCAGTCTGGGAATGCAGTAAAGTGGCAAGTTCTATCATCAACCCGGGGTCTAGATCTACTGCTTAATCCGTGATTATCTATTATCTAGCCAACTAAGTCAAGTGATTGTTGTTTTAAGCAAAAGCAGTAAGAAAGCAGGAATTGGTTCTTTCTCAAGCAAAGAAGAGTCACTCGGGAATGAGTCCCCCTAGCTCCTTAATCAGGTCTCAATTGTAATTATCCTGGGTTGATTTACTGTTGATTAGACTGCGGAAGATCCGACAGTTGCTTGGAATCTCTTAAGCTGACCAAACCCTCTCAGTCTAACTACCCGGCAGACGACTAGTCTTCACCGGGATAGAAAGCTGAAGCAATAAGCACAGAACTCCACTACTGGAATTGGATTCCAGTACAAAGCAGTAAACTGACTAACTCTCGTATAGCCAATCCCCTACTAACGAATGAAGAGGCTCTAACAACCTAATCAGATTCTATCTATCTCAAGTTGCAGCAGAAATCAAGAAAAACTGATCAGACTTCAATCAATTCAATAAAACATGCATCATTCGATTAAAACCAAATAGTATAATCATCCCAAGTCATTACAATCAAATCCCTAACACATGGAACTAGGGTTCTTCATACCCAAGTGAGAGAAGGGTTCTACTCCATAGAGAGAGAGGAAAACAGAATACAAAGCAGTCATACTCATAACAATGGGAAGAATCTGCTCTGGGATGATGATTTCCACTCCTATTACGATCTCCAAGCTTGATTTGATGAAACCCAGCTCCAAGATAGCTTCTAGGATGTGTTCTTCGCACTTTCTCTCTCTAGGGCACTGTTTTTGCTCTGAAAATTCGATTTCCTCACTTGTGGCCCGAAATTGGGTAAAAACCAGAAAATCCCGATCACACGGGCAGACCACACGGCCGTGTGGCATACCCAGTTGCCGGTGTGAGACACAAAACGCCGTGTTTCCAATAATTGCACTTCAGGCTACCTACACGGCCAAGGACACACGGCCGTGTGGCTCACCCAGTCTGCCCGTGTGAAGCCTCGCAGAATTCCACACGGCCACATTTATTACTTGCACGGCCGTGTGGGTTTTGTGTGTGCCCGTGTGGCTTCCTCAGCGACTCGCCGCGCGTCCGAACTTCGTCCAATCGACCCCGAACTCGCTCCCAACCCTTCATTCACTTACTAGGACCTGAAATATCACAAACAAGCACAACCTAGCGTGAAATCGGTCTAAAACACGAGCATCAACACCTCAAACGGCTCCAGAATAGGGGTAAAACATGTGCAATTAACGGTTTATCAGGCCCTGACACCCTGCTCTCCCATGCCTTCCTTAATAACTCATCAAACTTTGGGTGCCTGATCCAGAAGCGAAAGAACTTAAATGGCTTAGGCAGACATTGCTTTGCAGCCTCAGTATCAACCAAACTTGGACAATGATCTGAAACTCCTGGCTTCTGAAAATGAACTGAACTCCCCATCATCTTATCCAACCAGTCAAAGTTAACCAATACTCGATCTAGTTTTTTCGCAATTGGACGAGCATATTGCTTGTTTAGCCAAGTGAACCACGGCCCCGTGGCTTGATGATCTTCAAGTTCTAACTCTAGAATCCAACTTTCAAAATCCTTCATACTAGTACTATAATGTGTAACGTTTGAAGCTTCAGCAGGACACCGAATCTCATTGAAGTCTCCAGATATCATCCAAGGAATACCATGGACTCTAATCTTCCTCAAATCGTCAAACAACTTCCTTCTATCCTTTTCCTCATTCGATGCATATACAAATGTTGCAAAGAAAGGAACAACAGACTTAACTAGAACATGAATGAACTGATCAGTAGAGTGCAAGATTCTCAGAGAAATATCGTTCCTCCAAGTGAGCCAAGTTTTACCCAAACCAACAGAGTTATAAGTAATCTCATTCTCCCAATCCTGAAGCCTTTTATTCACAAGCTTTCTCTCTTCTTTTCTTCTAATTCTCGGCTCAAGTATAGCTAATATACTAAGATTATACTTGTTTATCTTTCTACGTAAATCTAAATACTTACTATCAGCTACAAAACCTCTAGTATTCCAGGTAAGTATCTTCATTTCTTTTGTTTCTTGCCCTTTCCACCCTTCCCTCCTTTTTTCACCACTTGAAATGTCTCCTGAGGGTCATCTACCCAAATTTTCTTTCCTTTATCATCCTTTGGAGTCGGCACATCCTTGCTAGCAGTAGACTTCCCACTCTCTTTCCCTCCCCGAGGCGACTGAATCTTAGAGCTCCCATCCTTAGACGATGATGACTCATTTGATTTAGCCAACTGTTCAGCTGTCACAGGGCTCCCAGCAGTTGGTGACCCTCTGACTACCTGAGTAAAACTCAGTGGAGGACTCCCTACTTGATTAGGAAAAGAGTGAGTAACTTCTTGGACACTATCCACCACAGGTGCAACCTGCATCTCGTCAGTCAGCGCATCACAAATAACCTCCTCTGAGAGAGGCTGATCCTGAATCACCTCATCCACAGTTGCATCTTCCTCAACTACAACTACTGAACACTTCTTAGGAATCCACACCCTCTTTGGACCCGAAATCGAACCACAGCTGTGACCAAACATACCACACTTCGCACACACTGACGGTAGATTACTATACTCAACTTCCACTTCAAAGCTCGGATCATCATCCGGATAGAATTTGATTCAAAAACTGATATTAATTTTTTCTAGTGACTAAACATGGCATGATTTAGTAATCTCAGTGATCAAATGTGGCATTTACTCATATTTTTCTATACAAAGACTTTATATATATAAAAAAAAACTTTTTGTACAACGTGTTGTCATTATTACTGAGTACACATACACTTAACAGGTAACTCGTCACCAATATCATAAAGAAGTGAAGAGTTGAGTAGATAATATGAATTTTCTATATAACTTATAATGTGTAAAAAAATTAATACAAAAGTGTTGTACTTCATTTTTGTAGTACTAAAGAGGAGAAGGCAATCAAAGTATTACCAACTTTATGTACAAATAAATAAAAAAGCACATAAGAAATGGAAGGTGGGAGTACGGCTAGAGATCGGGTCGGGTCCTAGTACCCGGCCGAACCGAACTATGCAGGTACCCAGACCCAAAAAACCCCAGTTTGAGGAACCAGACACGACCCCGACTCGGTTCTTGGGGTACCCGAGACTCGAAGCCACATTTCTCGGGTATGGTTCGGTCACCCGAATACCCATCAGCCACCGAAGACAACCTGTTACAGCAGCTTTATTCAAGAAGAAAAACAGACATGAAGAAACCAGAATCTGGAAAACTAAACATACACCTGAATAAAGAGTTACATAACAAACATAACCAAGTCTAACAATTGAAGTTTCCATCATCATCATCATCAGTTCACCATCTTAGTTCAACAAGGGAAGTAGAAAACTCCAAATTAACAGTTTCAACAACAAACACACAGTCATTCCATATGTTGTCTTGGGCAACAAAATAAAGACAACTAATGGAAAGATCATCATGTCTTCCACTTCCAGGAGTTCCATTCCATCCAATCCATCTCATTCCCTCTTGCTGTCTCCATGGGCAGAGTCGACTTGTTGCTCATCATTCTCCTGCTCCTCAATCTCATCACTGGAAACTTCATAAGTATCATCATTTGGTTCTCCTACTGATGAAGGGACTACACTAGATTTAGCCCCTTCAATTTCTTGTGCAAGGGAAGCATCATTCACAGCTAGCACCATGTCTTGAAATTCTAATTACATTCATTACATAGCATAAAAAGCATTCAGTTTATGTAGTAAATTGAAAGTAAAATATTCTGAAGATTTAGTGAACTGATTACTAAAAACTAATAGATACTAGAGATTTACCCTTTTCAAACTCTTCCATCTCGTCCAAATCCTCATCCTCAAGTGGTAAGTTCGAATGTGCCAGCCAATCTTCACTGCAGATTAATGCCTCCACAATTTTGGGTTTCAAAGAACTTCTAAAGGAGTCCAATACACGAGCTCCAGCACCGAAAGCACTCTCTGAAGCTACACTTGATATCAGGACAACAAGTAAATCTTTGGCCATTTCACTCAAAATTGGATACCTGGCAGCACTGTTCTTCCACCACAACAAGATGTCATACTTAGGATTCTTAGCATCTCCTTCACAGAGTTCAACCAAGTACCTCTCCAACTCACTTGCCTCAGTAGCTGTTTCTGTCATTGAATAATCATCATCAAAAGAGGTGGCTAGCACATTGGGAGTAGGCAGTGAGTTCTGCCTTGTCATTGGAGAACCTCAGATTGAGTCCCCTCCCTAGAATTAGAAGCCACATTGTTTCTTCTACTCTCATAAAATTTGAATAGAGCACTGAGTTCTCCATTCAACTCATCAACCAATTCATCACCTCGTGTTTCCCCATACAACTTCCTCAGTGTATACACAGGATAATGCATTTTATGCCTTGGATCAAACACTACAACTAGGTGAAACAACCTATTTATTCTTGAGTTCCCTTCCTCACTTTCATGCCAATATTTGCACACTTTGACATGCATCCTATGAGCCATATTCTGCACTTCTTCCTCCTCACTCTCCTCCATTTGCTTAATTTGGAAAAATACAACACATAGTTGCCTTAGGAAAAGGTGAGAAGTCACGTACTTGGTCCCAGAAACAAGCAAGGTGAGCTCGTAGATGTACCTCAAGTGCTTAGACAGATTCCTCGCACTTTCCCAATCAGTCATAATGGGAGGACCAATCACTTGGACTTTGTACTTCTTGGCCTTGGTAAGATCAACCACAAACTAAGAATTCTCCAATGCACGTGTCTTAAATGCCTTCTCAAACTTCTCTGCCGCCTCCAACATCAGATATGTGGAATTCTATCTAGTTGGAAAGTCCAAGATCCCCATTTTCTTCGACTTGATACCATGGAAGTTTCACAATTCTTGAATCTCATCATCCTCGATGGTGAAGCACGAACCCACCTTACTGCCTCCCTGATTCGAACAACAGACACCCCAATTTCCTCCAACCATCACTGACAATCAGATTTACAATATGCGCAACACAATGCATATGTAAATAAGCACCACCCTTAACACAACTACCCCCAATCAATCAGTTTCTCCTTCAAAAAACCAATTGTCGTGTCATTTGCACTGGCATTATCCACTGTGATGGAGAATACATCCTTTAAACCCCAGTCCATCAATGAATCAGCAATTGCACTACCAATATCGACTCGCTTGTGGCTGGAAATGAGATGAAAGCTAATGACTTTCTTGTGAAGCTTCCAGTCACTCCCAATAAAATGTGTAGTTAAGCACAAATAGTTGAAATTCTGCAAGGATGTCCAACAATCTGTAGTTAAAGAAACCCGACTAGCACAATGATTCTTGAAATAATTTATCAACTTCAGCCTCTCCTCAACAAACAACTTGAAACAATCTTCCCTTATAACCTTCCTCCCAGAAATCCTGAATTGTGGGCAAGCAGCAAGACAAAAATCCCTTAAAACCTACTCTCTCAACATACCTAAAAGGCAGCTCATCCATAATAATCATACGAGCCCATGCAAATATGACATTCCCCTGCTCAAACCTCCAATTGGCTAGTGCTAATACTCTTTCATCACTTGTTGGTTGCAAGTTTAACAGCAATTGAGAACATGATTCCTTCCTCTTTTCCCTACACAATTTGGTATGTTTATGGAGAGCAGAAGTACCGTTGCTTCTTGTATCGGCAGAAAGCTTCTTTTTGCAAAACAAACACCTCACTTTCCTCGTTGGATCTTTCACCGGAACCCTCTCAATGAATAGATCATACTCGTCATAGGCATCTGACCTTGTATTCCCCAACACTAGTGGTTCCTCAACCACTTGGTCAGTAGGAAGAGGAGCAGCGACAGGGACTGGAGTCGACGTCGGAGGAGCACCGGCAGGGATCGGAGCCGGAGGAGTAGCGGCGGCAATAGACAGAGGAGGACCAGCAGCGACGACAGTTTGAGGAGGACCACCGACGACAACGATTGGAGAAGGAGGACCTGCGCCGGCAACAACACTTGCATTTGGATGTACACTTCCAATAGATTCACCTCTCTTCTTCAATCTCTTCTTAGCCTTCCCTGCGACAGGAAGGGATCGGGGATTGCTGATTAGTCTCTCTTCCTCCCACCAGCTCATTCCATGATTGATGAAGGATGACAACCGACGAAGACGACGGTGGTTGGTGGGATGGTAGATCGATGATTTGGCGGTGGAAGGAATGTTTTCTTGTCTACGAGATGTCCCGATCTCGATGGAAGAAAACAAAGGGTTTCTTTCGCTGACTGCTGGAGTGGGAAGTGGGGACTGGGGAGTGGAGACTTAGGGTTAGGGGTATGAGGGGGCCGAACTTTGTCTGGGTTGGCCCGTATGTATGACTATGGGCCATATGATATTTGGCCCTGTGGGCTGGGGAGCAGTTCCACTTCGGGTCTGTCAATTTTTTGTATCGGTTTTGGTTTACCTAAAACCCGAAAAACAGCCACATAAGGAGCCGAGGCCGGTTTTGCACTATGATATTTCGGTTCTCGGTACCCGAGACCCGTCAATTTCGATTTGGATTTCGGATTACCCATAAAATCAACCTCGAACGTCCAGCCCTGGGTGGGAGTGTGGGCTCACGAACTCTTGAGAGAAGTCCGTCGGCGGTGGTGTAGGGAGATTCCGAGCGTGGGTTCCAATGAACTTGAAGTAGTACTCCACGGGTTGTGCCGATGAGAAATTCATGTTAGAATGCTTCTATTATACTATGAGAAATTCACGGGCCGCCATATCTTTCAAAATTTGTTCCTGTATTGTAGCTCCACTCTTGCTGTAACTTCGCAATGTAGTTGGCGCACAAGCTGTAACCCAGCCATTATAAATTCTGTAAACCATAATTTACAATCTCATCTTTCAGCATTTTCGCATGGCATTGGGAACTTGAGGAGGCTCAAACGAGTAATTCTCTTCTGTGAAAATCTTCACTCTAATTTTCTCGCTTTATTTCTCATGTTCACCATCTGGAACAACTCTTCTACTTCTCGGATTTTTTTTTTCACAAATAACACTGTTTATAAAAATTTACAAAAATAGCACTCAACCCCGAAAAATTCCAAAAATAGCACCCTTTTCCAAAAACTGTCACCCCACCCCACCCAGTGGTTTACACGAAAACCGCAGGTTGGTGCCACGGTTTTCAATGAAAACTGCACGGGTAGGGGGGCGGTTTTCATGACCGCCTAGGGTCGGACTGGTTTGATCTAAAATAGCACGGTTTTTTTATTGCGCAAACGCGTGGGTGGGGTGCGGTTTGCAACCAAACCGCCCCGGCCCAATGTGGTCGGCAAAACCGCCCCCTACCCGTGTGATTTTCATTGAAAATCGTGGCCCACCCTGCGGTTTTCGTGTAAACAGCTGGATGGAGTGGCGACTTTTGGGAAAGAGTGTTATTTTTAGAATTTTTCGGGATTGGGTGCTATTTTCGTAAAAAAAATTAAACAGTACTATTTCTGGAAAAAAATCCATACTTCTCCTCTTATGTCTCTCCCTTCCAATCTCAAACCTACCGTGAAACAGAGGTAGAAGAGTTGTTTGAGATGGTGGACATTAGGAATAGAGAAGGAAATTAGAGGGTAGAGTTCTGAAGAGGAGGATTACTGGTTTGAGTCTACTTTTGCTCTAATACCATGTCAATTGTCAATATTAATGAGTTGCTGGAGTATATGATCGTTTCGACGATCGAAGAGCCGTCTACTCTTCTTCTCTACTCTTCTTCTGCTAACAAGAGTTTTCAAAACGCAGAATTTGCTATATCTTTATCTTTCTTGTACAGGGGGCTTCAATGATCTTATGTGACTTCTCAAACTGGCATGGTTGGCACTGCCATTGGAGCCGTCAAGCAAGGTTTGAACTTTTGAAGTGTGTAATTGTGCTATATGATTCTCATCACCTGATTGTTTGCTGTCATCTCTGGTAGCAAATATTCTGTGTAGGTAACTAGGTAAGTCTTGGTACAAAAGAAGAGAAGGTTTTTACACATTGGACAATGTTGGGATTTTATTGGATAATAAGAGAGATTGAGCTCCACTGATCAACAATCATTCCTCTGACTATGCTAAAGGACATAAATACAACAGGTTACAACTTACAGTATCCCCCGTTTCAGTGTCGAGAAAATGTGCTTTAACTGAGGATATCTTGAAGAGGCCCGTCAACTGCCGGTGAATGCAGCATGCCCCTTAATTGGCAGAGCATACAGCACCACGTGCCCTCGGAGATCTCACTGAGCAGCCGCTTCAGGCATCCATATAGAGTTGCTGGTGCCTAGATGAAGTCGAGAAATCAAAAGAAGCACAGTTAGTTTTTTGGTTGAGTCGCATGTAATACCTTGGAGTGAAAACAAAGTCTGGAAAAAAATTCAGGGTTCAAACAATCTTGCTGCATTCACAAAACTTGTAACGGATAGCCGCCTTAACAAATCACCAACAGAATCAGTGCTAAGGCCACTGCAATGCCAGCATATGAGTACCGGAAACAGGTGGTTTTCCTGTAGCCTTGTAGAGAAACCAAGTACGCAGTCGTATTTAAACTGCAGGCAAATGTACTGAAAGAATACATGCAAATGCAAGCTTGAAAGTAAATTTCAAGCAATTGATTGTAATTCGAATTATAAGACAGTATAAGAACTTACTGGACGAGGTAAATGCTGGCAAGCTAACATATTCTGGGCAAGAACTCGAAGACGAATACTTGCTATCTTGCAGTGTTGATGATGCTACACAGTCCCTCGGCTGTAAAAGTAAAGAGTAAGAAACGACATCTATGTTTAAACAACTATGGCAAGAAAACAGTCAAGAAGGAGATGACTAGCTCTCAATAGCTTCTCGGACAAAAAAGCAGGAGCTTTAGGGAGCCAGACCTGGAAATTCTTGTAGAAACACAAGTGGACTTCCTCCAGAGCACCCTTTGAGCAGGTCAGCAATGGAGTTTCGTGGTAAGCATTCTGAATGGCAGAGATAATGCCTCCAAGAGGATACATTTCAGTATTCGAAGGAACATATCCAGCTTCATTCAGTACTTGCTGCAATCATGAAATGGTGCATAACTAGAGTATCAGTCTTACAGACATAGTTATATGCTTCCACCAAGCAAAATAAGTTTTCATACCGTGACATTATACTTGAAGTAGACATTGAGACCGGTCAAGAAATAGTTGTATTCATCTCTAGTACTATCAACAGATGAAGAGCACGTCCCATGCTTCTCTGCAAGCAAAATGGAAAGAAGATAAAGTAGCAAATAGGTGGTGACCAACTATGGCAATCTATTTTCAATCAATAACTAGCCTTTGCATACCTTTTAAGACTACATGAACTTCTACAGCAAACCTCACTTATATAAAATATTTAAACTATGTTTCGCAGTAATATGATCTGCCTTATTTCACAGTAAAAACTTGTAACTTGATTATCAATGATGCGCAAATGACTATTTGTGAATAGCTTACCCCACTTTTGGAGTTGTCATACGCCGAATTAGCCACCATGGAGCCAAGGAAAGGAAGCACAGTTAGTTTCGAACCAAAGTAGAGAGGATGAAGTTAGGGTGGGAAAAGCGAGACTCGAATAGAGAAACAACCTCATGTGCCCAGAAAGATCCTTTCACCCCATGGCAGGTTGACGACTTCCCACAGCTCAGAGTTGGCCAAAACTTGTGCAGAGGTTCAAGCAATGTTTCTATCTGAAACATGATAGACAAGGTAGATTAACAACCCTATGCAATCAAACAAGATAATCTCCGTAGCTGCAACAGATAATCACAGTTCCATCGAAAACCCAAATGGCGTTCTGTAAAGACCCAGTTCATCTCAATAACTCAAACTATTGGAAGAGGAGCAAAGAATGAATCTTCTGATACTTCTATTCCCATACTCGCCCCCCTTGAACGCCAACCATTAGGCTTGAACTTGCCTTGGTTATAATGTCGAGGAGACCAGAACTCAGGACAGAAGTTTTGATACCATATCCATAATTCATGGCTCTTAAATTGACGACAAACCAACCAAGTAGGATCAGTCGTCACCTCTTTTTCGTTAAAGTTGGAGCCACCACAGCAGGATGGCCAGCTTCCGTCATTGTAGTTGGACCATAAGCCATCTGGGTTTTTTGACATGGAAGGGTAAACTCATCCGCAACAAAAAAATTCCAACTGGTTGCAACAATTTGTCATATAATCGCGAGAATGCATATATCTGTAAAGAAACTTACGGATTGTGAATTCAGTTGGGGAGTTTTCCCTGCCAAAAAGGAGAAGCCATATTAGAGCTAAAATATGCAAAAGTTCGAACTTTTAAAAGGGGCTTCCTGCGTAATCTCTTTGCATAGTGTAACCGAGGAAGAAACGAAGACGCCATCGATTCATTCCAATCGGCGGTCAAGTTTCCGTGACGCTTACAGTAATACCCAATTTCAACTCAGCAGAAGGGTAGCTGGTTGAAGTTTAGCAAAAAAGATGTTACCCTCGGCAGCAAGCGTTCTGGCGGCAGCATTTTTTGCTGAATCGGCAGTAAGTGGCGGGCCATTGGAGAGCTAGCACGAAGTAATCAAACTCTCTCTGATCCGAATTCCCGACGACCTGCTCCAGCTCCACTACTTCCTCCGCCACGGAGAAGGAAGCGGCCAGCAGGAAGGATAGCGTGAACTGGAGATACAGCAGAGCGTTTTTGGCGAGGATTGAAGAAGAAGCCATTGTTGGCCGGAGATCTATCTGTGTTTCAGTTACTTGGAAGCCGAGAAAGGAAGGAAACAACTGGCAATGCCGCAATAGCGAGTTGTTTTAGTAGTTAAAATAGTTCGTTAGGATTGGAAAGAGTGTGGGGACTCAACAGTAATTTCCTCCCGGGGATGGTGAATGGGGTCAAAGGGTAATTCTCTAGCAATTGTCTTCCTGTTCCTTAGATTGGTAGAAGTCGAGCCCTTTCCGGAAGAATTTGGTTCTCGTGTATTTCTAACATACATTTTGTTCGAATAATTTGCAGGTTGATCCGTTTATGCAGCATCAGTTTTCAAGTCTCGATCAGAAGAAAGAGAAGTTTTTACAGACTGGAAGTCAGTTGATCATGTTGGATTATTGAATGATAATATAAGAGATTCATACAAAGTTCATCCTCCATTACATAGGCAAGAGCTCAACTGACCAACGATCATTGCCTGATCCCTCTTAATTTGCTGGAGGACATAATACAAGAGATATCCCCCCCGGTTTCAGCGTGGACAAACTGGGCTTTACCAAGGGGGAGCTGGAACCAGTTCAGTTAGACAGAGACCCCCCTTCACTGGGCATTGCTTGCAGCAGAGCATACAGTAGCGCCTGCCACCCCACGGTCTCACTGAGCGGCGTTTTCAGGCATCCATACCGCGTCATTGATGCCTATATCGAGTAGAGAAATCAAGTAGTGTAATAAGTTTATCGTTTGAGTTGCATGAATAATCTTTGAGAGCAAAACCTTTCTACTATGGAATTGTTTACGGGACGACAAACAATGTGGATAGCTCCACAAAACAATCACAGCTCTAATATTATATTCTGAGTTGCAGTTTATTCCGGTGAGAAAAGAAAACAAGTGCCTGAAGATTTCAGGATCGTAAGCAATTACTGCATTTCCAAAACTTCGAGACAGGTATCAGCGATATCGCGAGTCAACCAATAGAAGTCACTAACAAAACCAGTCCCAGGGCGGCAAGGCCTAGCAGATGAGTACTGGAAACAGTTGGTGTGCCTGTAGCCTCGGAGAGAGACGAATCAAATTTAAACTACAGAAGAAATTTACTGGGGAAAAAATACATGCAAATGCAAGCTGGAAAAGGTAATTTCATGCGATATGAGATTGATCCACATGATTGCAATCCGAATAGTAAGATGGCATAAGAACTTACCGGACGAAGCAAATGCTGGCAAGCTAACATATTCTGGACAAGAACTCGAAGAGGAATACTTGCTATCTCTCAGTGTTGATGATGTCACACACTCCCTCGGCTGTAAAAACGTAAAGAGTAAGAAACTAAATCAATGTTCAAACAACCATAGTAAAGATGGTTTAACTAGTACAGAGATGATAAACAACTAGCCACAGTGCTTTCTTTCTAACAGAAAGCACAAATCTTTAGGAGTTAAGACCTCGAAATTCTTATAAAAGCACAAGCGGATTTCCTCCAGGGCGCCCTTTGAGCAAACAAGGGCAGGAGTTTCGTGGTAAGCATTCTGAATAGCAGAGATAATGCCTTTGACAGGGTACTTTTCTGTATTAGAAGGAATATATCCAGCTTCAAACAGTACTTGCTGCAAACATAAAATCGTTCATATCTAGTATCAGTCAATTGAATACTAACAATGTGTCTCTCTCTAATTAGAGACTGCTTCAATATGGAAATAATCAGCTTTCATACTGTAACATTATATTTGAAGTAGACATTGAGACCAGTCAGAAAATAGTTGTATTCATCTCCAGTAACAGGGGAAGCACAAGTTCCATGCTTCTCTGCATGTACAAAAGAATTAGCAGAAAATGTTAAACATGGTATGCATGCAAATCTATTCTTCAGCCTAGCAATATCTTCAAAGCCTAAAAGGAAATTTATAGGGCTTTCATTTGGTAATCTCCAATAACATAAAGTGTCGTCCGTTAAAACTAACAAACTTAAACAATCATTTTCTGTAGGCTCAACCACATTTTCCTTCTACATTCTAAGGAGCAGCCCAGATGTCACAGTCCTTTTGCATATTGTACTTAATAGGGGCATAAAAGCTTACCCCACTTTTAGGCATGAAATCCACCGGATAATCCATCATCCCGCCAAAGAAACGAAATTTAGTTAGTTCTGGATAAAAAGTATAGAGGGAAATGTGAGACAGAGATTGAACAACACACCTCATGTGCCCAGAAAGATCCTTTCACCCCATGGCAGGTTGATGATTTCCCACAGCTTAGAGTGGGCCAATACTTGTTCAGAGGATCAAGCAAAGTCGAGATCTGAGAATAAAAATTCACAACTTGGCTAAGCAAGATATCACATACAAATACTTCAAACAGCTTAAACCCTAAGGGTGGAAAAGAAGGGGAAGGAACATAAACTACATGGTACATGCATACCCATACACATACACAGAAGATATATATGATTTACAAATTACAACCATACGCAATCTAACACGATAATCTCCCTAGTTCAGAAAAATCAATCAGTAGTTCCTCGTTTCCCCATTAGCTACTGCATTAACATCGTCCCATAGGAAAACCGAAAAAGAAGCTAATTTGATCAACAGCTAATGCAACACAGGTTAGGTCAGCACCTCCTTCTCATTGAAATTGGATCCACCGCAGCAGGATGGGTAGCTTCCATCATTGTAATCAGGCCATAACCCATCTGTGTAACATGAATGGTACGAACTCAATCAGCTCTTATAAACCCATAGTCTAAACTCTTGATTACAACATAAAGCAAAGTGCTTTTGCAATAACGTTCACTTACGGATTGTAAATTCAGTAGGGGAGTTCTCCCTGCAAGAACAAGAAGCCAGTTAACCATGTTTTCTCTCACAGCTTTTTCTCGCCATCGATTCATTTGAATTCAATCAAACCCCCAAATTCAAATTGAGCTAAAAACAGAAACAAGTTAGAAGATGTTACCCTCTGCAGCAGGCGTTTTGGTTGCAGCATTTTTTGGTGAATCGGCAGTAAGTGGCAGGCCATTGGAGAGCGAGCATGAAGTAATCGAACTCTCTCTGCTTCGACTTCCCGACGACCTGCTCCAGCTCCACTACCTCCGCTTCCGCCTCCGCCAGCTGAGCCGCCGCAGTGGCGACGGCGGAGAAGGATGCAGCCAGGATGAAGGAGAGCGCGAAATGAAGGTACAGCAGAATGGTTCTGGCGGGGATTGATGGAGAAGAAGCCATTGTTACCCGGACGATCTATCTGCGTTTCAGTTGCTTGGAACTCGGGAAAGAAAAAGGGCAACAACTGTCAATGGAGGTCGGCGGATTTGTTTCTAGTGAAGGAGTAGTTCGTTAGGACTAGGAAGGAAGCAAGAGCGGGGTCTCAACGGTAATTTACGAGGGTGAAAAGATGCGAATTAGCGGATATTCCGTTGGAGGGATCTTGATTAACTGGTCACTTGACCAATGAATCACTTGAGAGAGTTCATTGTCAAGAAGATTAGCAATTGTTTACAACCCTAATTAGTACCTTATGGAATCCCTAATTCAAGGGGAGCGGATAATATAACAACACCTCCTTTGTTGTTATAGTAACAACAAGGGTAAAAGGGTCCATTAACACAATATCTAACAAATAAAAAAATTAATATTCTACTTATTTCCTTCCTCGCGTATATCGCTCCTCCTCACATACTCCCCCGACGCCGCGCCGTCCAATCTGAACCTTCTGACCACTCCACGTCGCTCGCAGGAACAGCAAGCGCTTCGCCTGTGGATCGCGACGGCGGCGTTGCTGAACGTGGAAGGCCTGGCGCTACACGGCGGCGGCGTTATTTCCTCACCGGCGTCGCCAGTCTTTGAAGGCGAAAGAGAAGCAATGATTCGTCGGTCCCGTTGTACAGAGCAAGCGTCTCTGCAGTGAAGAGTCTCTGGCGAATTGGCAACAGCAAAATTAAACCGCCAAGTCAAACAGAAACGGAAGTTGAGGAACGGGAGGAAATGAAGAAGAAGAAATGGCGATGGTGGCGGGAAGCTACCTGGTGTCGCTGCAGAAGCGAATTGAAGTTGAAGGAGGAGAAAGTGGAACCGAGATTGAGTTGCAGCGGGGAATTGAAGAAAAGAGTGGCAGTTAACGTGCCGAGAATAGCGATTCCCACAAACGGCCCAATTCTCTTTTGGCTTGGAGCCTTCCTTTTCCTCCACTGGCCGTTTCTTTCCTTCCTTCCTTTCTTCACAGTAGTGTCGAAAACCCTAGCAATGGTTTCAGATCTGGCTGCGTTTCACTCGACAGCCATGTTGGAGATCATCATCGCAAGTTGGTAAAGGGTGCTTCAAGTTCATCGCCATATGTTAATATATATGCCCTCACTGCAGGTATATATGTATGTATGGGAATTTCTGGGGAGGAGATGGAGAAATTTGACAGAAGAGAGTGAGCACAGAGGCATCTTGTTACAATAACTAGTTATTAGTCAATTAAAACAATTATGATTCCCCATGTCTAGCTAGTATTGGATTTTACTAACTACGGTACCAATTGCAGGATTCTTGTTGAATAATATTGAATCAATCTCCCTCTCGGATGAAATCCCTCCCTGGAAAATTAACGAGTTGACTTGGAACAGTCCTGGAGAGCCTGACTTGGAACAGTCCTATAATGGCTGTTGCAGCTTTCATAGTCTTTACTTTTCGAGTACATAAGCAAAGGGGGCTAGCAGTAGGAAAGCAAATATTTCTAACACCAAAAACTCCCTAGTGCAAATCACAAACGCAATAAAACAACCGACAAAAAATATACTGTTAATCTCCTAATGCAAACCACAAATTCGTTAAAACATATCATAAACCCCACAAAACAAACCATAAATATTTTGAAAAGCCCACCAGAAATCCCCTAATGCAAACCAAAAACACGGTAAAGCAAAACACAAACACGGTAAAACAAACCAAAAACGTCCTAATGCAGACCACAAATATATCAAAACAAACCAAAAACCTCGCAAAGCAAACCACAAAAATTTCGAAATCACACCAGAAACTTCGTAATGCAAACCAGAAACCTCCTAATGCATACTACAAATCTCCTAAAACAAACCACAAACCCCACAATGCAAACCACAACATTTGCGAAAGCACACCAGAAACCTCATAATGCAAACCACAAACACAGTAAATCAAACCACAAAAAGCAAACCATAAACGTCATAATGCAAACCACAAATATATTAAAACAAACCAGAAACCTCACAATGCGAACCACAAAGTTTTTGAAAACAAACCAGAAACTTTTCAATGCAAACCACAAACACAATAAAACAAACCATAAAAGGCATAAAAAAATATGAGAAACCAAACCATAAATCTCACAATGCTAACCATAACATCCGGTGGTCGTTGACCGGTCAACGAAGTTCGTTGACCGAACTCCGATGACCGTCAGTGAGCAGATTCCGACGCCGATAGGCATATTCCGGCCCCGGTGACTAGATTCCGACGCCGGTAAGCATATTCCGACACCGGTAAGCATATTCCGACTCCGATAAGCATATTCCGGCCACAAAATAGCATATTCCGGCGACAAAAAGCATATTCCGGTGACCGACGACTATTTTCCGGCGACCGGTGGCAGAATTCCGACGACCAAATTTTTGGGCAGAAAATAAAAAAATATTTTTTTTAAATTTTTTATTTTTATTTTTTTATTTAAATAGATTTTTCATAAAGACAATTATACCCATGCTTTGATATTACACTAGGTCAACTCATCTAATAAAAAGTCATCACAATCCTAGCTTCCTATTGGTTGGGGACTAGTGTTGTTACAATAATAACACAATGGGTGTTGTTACAATAACCGGTCCCAATTCAAGGGCAAAGGTGAACCTTAGTGATATTGAAACTTGGGGAATAAGGAATTAAAGTGTAGTGCAAGGTCAATATGTGAGCCATACATTTATAGCATAAAAAGGGTTTTGGAAAATATATCAGCTGAATATCATCTCATTCTTTCAATATTGAAATATTTCTAGTACAAGTAAAACTTCAACAAATAAGATATGAATATTATAAATGCTTCTATTTTCATCCCACTTCAACTAATAATATGAAGTTTTTTTTTTCAAAAGTTTGAGTGAATGTCTCGTACGATCGTAATCATAAGCCAATTAAAGAGTAAAGTGTAGTATTTGGATTTTGTGGATTTTTTTTATATGCATACTTTTTTTTAACAATATGTGTTATCTAAATTATATTTTTCAAACCTATATGAGCTATCTAAAAAATATTTTGAATTGTAAAATAAATACACTAGAAGTAAATTTTAGTATTAAAATAAAACTTAAGTATATTAGTTATCAATTTTATTTTAAAAAATATTATATAAATTATATATTTTATTTTTTGAATAATTTAAAAAATATGAAATATTTTGTTAATTTTTGTTAATTTAAAAAATATAAATAATTTATAATTTTTGGTTAATTTATAAAATTTATCATTTTCAAATTACCCAAAAAATAAAAAATTAAATTTATTTATGTTTTTTATAATTTATTTTTGGTTAATTTGATAATAAATAATAAAAAATAGGAAAATAATTTGAATTTTTTTAATGATTTTTAGGCTGATGAGGCAATGACTTGGTTTGTTGACTAACGGTCAATGATGTTGACCATCCAAATTGACGGTCAAACTCTGTGTCGAGCCAATTGAGTCTATATGTTACATAGTTGAGACCATGATGTTAATTTCTGAATCCACGGGTCAAAATTGATTATGTGGTCATAGTTCATGCCAAAATAAGGTATTAACCCTTTTATTTTCTGCGTCTGGTTCATTATCCAACGAATATCGTTGTTTATTTTTGTGTCCGTTATTTTCTAGATCTGTCTCCAATTAATTTAACACTATTTAATTTACATACTCGTTTTGTGAGGTATTATAATTAATTAAAATTAAAACCCTTATAATTATAATTTGTGTTCTTGAATTAGTTGTGAGATCAAAATATAATGATTTAATTAGTCGATAGAACGATCAATGATCTAAACCTAATCTAAAGAATATAATAAGGACTTTCCGGTTTAGAGCTTCACGGATTCAAAATCCCGTACTCCTTAGCCTTCCACGTCAGCGTCTCTTTTAGCCAATCATAGTGCGTAAAAAAAAAAAAAAAACTGCCCCTACGGTGGTTTCCGGCTATTTATCATATTAATTTTTATTTATCTATTATTTTATCATGTGGCATACGGAAAAATCTCCTAAAAAATGCAACTGAATTTCTTCCCTTTTTAGCAACAAGTACCAATTAAATCCAGAAGTAACCAGTTAATTATTATTTTTTTTAATTTCCCTTTGTCCACTTTGGACGTGTGTTTCTTCAAACTACTCTTCCAGGTTCCCCATAAAGAGAAAAAAAACTACTCTCACCCTATAGTCAAAACAAAAAATTATAATATTGAGTTTGCAAATATTAGTTTGAATAAATATGTGAATTTCAATTTCTTATTAAAATAAATTTTCATAAAATTCTAACTTGATGCAACAAATAACTTGTTTTGAAACTCTTCAATCTATTTTATTGATAGATAGATAGATATATAAATAATTTTCAAGTTTCAATTTAACTCATTTAGTATGTATTTAAACGTGTTATACAAGTTTTATACGTGTGTAGTTTGAGAGAATCATCAAATGGACAAGAAAGAGTGGAACAGTTTGATAATAGTATGGTAACGCTTATATATACGCATATTAAACGGGGTATTTACTAACTATGATTTGGAGGAATTTTCATAGGTTTGATGAAAAATATGTTTTATAAGAGTTTAAAAAAAAATTGATCGAAAATGACGGAGAACGTAACTGATATTGGGTTAAAAGTTAACCTAGAGTGAGTTCATGTTAGAAACACAAAATTTATGGCCCCATATAAATTATATCATCATAAAATATTAACTATAAAAAATAGTTATAACAATAAATAATTAATGATTTTAAACTATCCCGGCCGTTGGCCGGGTACAAAGCTAGTTAATAAATAAAAAGGAAAGAAGGAAATACAACACAATTGGCTTAAATATATTTTCAATTTCGAGACCAGCCCCAAGTAATCCCCCCTATTTCCCCCTTTTTCTCCAAACCCTAATTGCTGCGAGCGAACTCGAACTCTTACACACCATTACCGAATTCCTTCCCACTCTAGTATCTCCTCTTCACACAGCTCTCCTTCCTCCTTATCTCGAATTACTTCCCTTCAATTTGATCTCACGAACTGAAATAAATCCTTCAATTCCACCTCTTTCTTGCTCACACCCCGCCCAATTTTGGGCTCTTTCTCCCCGCTTTGAATTCTTCGTTTACCCGATTTCCCCTCCGGTCAATTCGTATCTTATACCCCTTTGCTTGTTGGGATTCCTGGAATTGGGCTGCTGCTGCTGTCGACTTATCATTCGTATCGGATCAATGATTTCGTAATCTGGGGTTGCGGAAGATCACTGTTGGAGGGAAGGAAGGAAGCGCGCGGTCTCCCAGCGTGTTGGGGGGTTTCTTAAAGTCGGGGGTTTTACTTACCAAGGTGCGGGAGACTACTCGCCAACGAACCAAAGTTGTGATCTTTATTGCTCGCCCGGTTGAAGAATTTTCCGGGGATCCATGTCAATGGTGTGCGTTTGAACTTCTCGTCAACTTTGTCCCAGTTTTGCGTGAATGCAGCGTTCTTGGGTTCTTCTTTCAATCTCATTTGTCAGTTTCAATCTGCGGTATTGCTTCCGTTGTTGTGCTCTCGGATGGAGCTCAGTCTAGTTCGTCGAGTTTCAGCCTAGGTTTTAAGATTTGAATGAGATTGGATCACCAGTAAGAGGATAAAGGAACATAGTTACTTCTTTCTGTATGGTCGTATGGATGAACTGTGGACTTGTTGGTAGCTGAAAATCAAATTACATTTCGAGTAAGTAGTCCTAGCCCATGGAAGTAAGTTAATAGAGCTCTTTGATTTATTGGTGAGAAGACTTTATTTTGATAGAAAAGGTCTCCTGGGTACTTACGATGCTTTGCCTTGAGGCTGAAGCTGAACTCGTTTGATATGATATGAGGGATAATGTCACATGTTTTGGAAAAACAACGTTGGAGAAATCTTTAGCAAAATGTCTCACTTTGAGCTTGACTGCTTTGGTTATTGTCATTTCACTAGCATCCTGTAATTGGTTGTCGGGGTTACTTCAGGAAAGGGATATCTCGTACATTATCAGAGTCTGGATGCCAGCAGCTAGTTTTGTTTTACTCTTAAGCATACTGACTGTACTTCTGTGTCCTGGCATATTTTGAATGCATTTGTATGCATTTCTGTTCATTAACGTGAGCATAATGTTGTTAGAAATGTGAGCTTTCAAGGGATTGTAACACTATGACAATCATTTTGCAGATAGTGTATCACTTACTAAGGAAACACTGATACATGGATCCTGAGACCAAGAAGTTTGGAAGTGGTAAGAACTTGTTCCTGTGTTAGATGACTGCTTATCTAGATGTCATTTTTATACTTGCTCCTGTGATATGGATATCCTTCTCAAGGAAGCAGTGGAGTTCCTTTAACTTGGCCAAAAATGTCATATTCACCTGCCTATTATCTCAACCAGAATAAAAATGTTTTGCATAAAAAAATGTTTACCTTCATTACTTAAAGAAGCTTTACTTTTTCTCTGTTGTGTAGGATTTAGAATACCCTGTGAAAAAAGTTACTACATTTACTGCTTTTGGAATCTAGTGAATGGAAACGTTATTGAGGCTTGCTTTGTGTAACTGGTCGAGCCCTCAACATATGTAAGATGTGAACTACTTATCTCTCTAGGCAGTGTTAGAGAACAAATCCTTGCCCTTTCTTTCCTCCACTTATTTCATCTTTTTCCTTTTTCCATCACTTTATAGTCTGGGCTGTTGGTTTACTTTGTAGAATCAGATCCAGGGATGGAATGGGAAATCTTGGTATATGTAACTGTAGATTCAAAGCATTCTTTCTAGTTTTTTGGTACTAGTTGTTTAACTATATAACAAATTCTTTTTCATCTAAAAGGTTAATTCAAGGTTAAGAGTTTCATGTCTCATTGATTTATGTTCTCCAAATATCAGGACCAAGAGAGCTGACTGGTGCTATTGATCTTATAAGTCATTTCAAACTGTTACCCCATCACGACTTCTTTTGCAAGAAATCACTTCCCGTGTCAATTGCCGACACACACTACCTTCATAATGTTGTTGGAGATACCGAAATCAGGAAAGGGGATGGGATGCAATTGGACCAGCTTATCCAGAATAGTTACCAGCCAAGAGATGGAAGTATACGCATACGACCATTCGACCTTGATTTGCTTAGGGAGGCCTTCCAACTGAAGGAAACCACTCCTGTAGAACTCCCTGCTGTAAGTGTACCATGCACTTTCTTTGCATTTGTCTTTTGGGATTCCATGCTGAGCTTTTTGCTTGTTCTTCTTCTTCATCTGCTGTAGTCGGAGAAGGGGACTCCTACAATTGCAGGGAAATCGAAGACTGAGTCGAAAGACAAGGAAAGAAAGCATAAAAAGCACAGGGATAAAGATAAGGACAAGGATAGAGAGCATAAGAAGCACAAGCACCGTCATAAAGACAAAGATAAAGATCGGAGCAAGGATAAAGACAAGGAGAAGAAGAAAGACAAAAGTGGTCATCACGAATCTAACCCCGAGCACTCGAGAAAGCACCATGAAAAGGTTAGATATCATCACTCATTGATTGGATTTATACTTTGGGCAACAGTTTTTCTATGTGTCTTAAATGAGCATCCTGATGATCATTTAATGACCCTCTGTTACATGCTCTGTCTGCTCCATTCCTGTGAAGAATACATTTTTCTCTTTTCTCGTTGATTCAGTTTGCAATCTAAAATGGAATCTTACATATTTAAATTCAGAAACGGAAACACGATGGGGACGAAGATCTAAATGATGTTCACAGACACAAGAAAAGTAAGGTAAGAAGGCAGTTGAATACCCACAATTGTGTTTCTCCCCCTCGTTTTACCCAGTAAAGTCACCTTTTTATGTTCTTGCAGCACAGGAGCTCAAAAATCGATGAAATTGGCGCAATTAAAGTAGCTGGCTGAAAAATTATTGGCAATCCTATTGTTCATTGTTTTTGGAAGTGGTTATTTAGAGTTTGGGAAAGGGTTTTGACTTCCAAGTTTTCATATTGGTGAGGTAAATCCTCCTTTCCCTTGTTCTTGGAACTGATTCTGCCTTTCCAATTTAGAATTGAAATGATCGTGATGGTGAATTTAGCAACATCCTTCGCCATGAGTTCATACGACTTACTGCTTGCTGCTCCTTGTTGTGCAGGGTAGGTTCAGAACTGACTTGAGAGAATTTGAGGGAATGGTGAATTCACCTAACTCCTGGATATTTAATTAGGGTTCGTGCAAAAACAGAACTTTGTATGATGATGATAGTAGATCTGGTACAGTGGGGGTGATGAAATAGGGCAAGACTCGGGTCACTTTCTTTTCTTTGCTTCGCTTTTTCGCTCTCCTCACTCAGGTTTTCTGGATGTTTCAAAAGCATGCAAACATTTTTTCTTCCACTGTCTACGTTTAGAGTAGTGGTGGGCTGTATTAGTGATGTATGGATGTCTGAAGTCTGAACATGTTGGAATCTACAACCGTTAGGGGTTTTGGAGGGAGACCAAGGGGGGATTGTATATACAGAAAGAATGGAAATCCATTCTTACCCACGGGTGTGGCAAATGAGTAAAATTATGTTTCTTCAAGAAATGAAATGTAAAGTGCAGCAGATTTGGATAACAGATGATGGAACTGTTGTAAGACTACATGGTTGTGAGAATGGATAGGTATGACCTGTTATGGGGAATGCTGTGGTTTAGTGCAGCTTCCTTGATGTTGAACAAATTGAGGAGCACCTATGTAGTCTAATGAAAAAAGACATGATCTTTGGTTGCCAGCTCATACTTCCCGAGATTATCACTTTGATTGGTTGGCTTGTATATCCTGAATTAGGTGTCATTTTGGTTAAATTTGGTGGCTATGATGACATCATAATCAGTTCTTTGAGAGAAACTGTTTTTATAGGCATCCTCGCGAACAAGGGTTTGTTCAAATGGTGATATTATTAGTTTCGAACCTGAAGATTCTCGATTCGAATTTCTTTATTAATATTTAATAGTAAAATCAATATATATCAGCCTTATAATGAAAATAGCGTCTGATTATTCATATTAGGGATGTAAACGAGTTGAGTCGAGTTTTTGCTTATCCTGAACTCATTCGTTTATAAATTTTTCAGCTCGAACTCGACTTTTAATAATCCAGCTCAAGCTCGAGTTCGGCTTGAATAAAAATAATCTAGCTCGAGCTCGACTCGGGGCTCGGTAAATGCACATTAACATAGCTTGTCAAGCTGAGTACAAGCTAGACTCAAAATGAGCTCGATTTGAAATCATTTTTGCTAAAAAAATGTGTAAACATAAGAATTTAAATGATAAAAATAATACTAGAAACAAAAAATAACAGCTTACTTCCATGCACATCCATATTAACAAGGTAAAATTCATGCTCAGAAGAGTAATTAATCCTTTCACAAGCTCTAAACAAGCCAGCTCGCGAGCTTAGCTCAACAAGCCACCTAATCAAGCTAGCTCACGAGCTTATCAACCTGAGCATGATCTAGCTCAAGCTTGGATAGTTTACTATCGAGTTGACTCGCTAGTCGACTTGTTAAATAACGAGTCGAGAGAAGAACGAGTTTTTTACGATCTGAACGCCGAGTTGCTCGCGAGCGGCTTGGCTCATTTGCAGTCCTAGTTAAGATAAAACGATCAAAGATCGATCCAATTGACCGTTGTGTAATGCGGCGATTGTTCAGTTTAAACGATCGAAGATCGATCCAGTTGGTTGATATGTAATGCGGCGCCTCATTCGTGCTCAAAAGTTTGTTGATGGAACCCTATTTATACTCTTTGTGAACGCTTCTTCTCAGATAGCCATGATGTAATGTGGCGATTATTCGGTTTAAACGCTCAAAAATCGATTCAGTTAATCATTGTGTAATGTTGCGATTGTTCAGTTTAAACGATCGAACATCGATCCAGTTTGGCCGTTGTGTAATGCGGCGTCTCATTCGTGATCAAAAATTGGTTGATGGAACCCTATTTATATTCTCTGTGAACGCTTCATGTCATGTACATATATAGTTCCAGATTACACGTTAGGGATCCGGGTTATGGTGAAGGTGCTTCCTTGGCTTAGGTTGTTATAAATTTGTCGCAAAGAGATACATCTATATGACCTAAATCTACACAATATGTATATTAGAAGGGTTTAGAAAAAACCGATTGTCACGTAAGCTTTAAATTTCTGATTTTTCAATTTAATTCAATTCTAGTTTAATTTAAATTTATTATTCATACGAGTACAACACAACATTCCAGAAGCACTCAAATTTTATGATGTTATTGATAATATAGTCAAATTAAGTGTTTTAGCTGAAATTTGGTGTAAAAATCAAGAATCATTAATCAATATACATTATCAAGAATTCACGATAACCCTATAATACACGAGTTAGATTAGAGAATCTAACCATAATATGTTGGCGCACCTATGATTTAATGACAACGTGATCTATAGTGAGAATATTAGAAAATTTGAACATCATAACATAAATATTCAAAAAAATTAATATTGGCCTGTGATATATTTGGCCAATAATCAAATTACTCGATTACAAGCTCAATATATTCTTTACCTAAAAATTAACGACCAAGAATTCTATCTATGGTTGAAAAATGTATTAACATTAAATTGTATTATTATAAACCCTATATTAGAAACTAGAGAGCATAACTATTTTGTAACAATCCATCTAACAGTACGTAAAAAAGCTTTATAAGATAAGTTTTCTTATTTGAGTTATTATCCAAGTGATTCTCTTTAGTTTTTCCATTATTACTATTATTATTATTATTAATTAATATTAGGATTAGGGTTTTTGTTAGTATATAGCTCTGTCGCCGGCGCATAGTTGAACTCCCTCCCCTGTTTCTCTCCAACAATGGGCGATGACTCTTCTTCGTATCACATGCCCGGAGGTTCCCTCTACTACGGCAGCTACCGGACCTCTGACCCCGTCCCCCCCGGAGCCAAGAAGCGCGAGCCATCTCAGGCGGCCGCTCAAAACATAGAGAACCGACTGAAGGGCCACATCATCGGACAGGAAGAAGCAGTGAAAGCCGTCAGCCGGGCCGTCCGCCGCTCTTCGGCGGGGATATCCGACCCGAACCGACCCGTCGCGAGCTTCCTCTTCACCGGCCCGACCGGCGTGGGGAAAACAGAGCTCGCCAACGCCCTGGCGATCGAGTTCTTCGGGTCGAAGGAATCCCTAATCCTGCTCGACATGAGCGAGTACATGGAGAGGCACAGCGTGTCGAAGCTCTTCGGCTCCCCGCCGGGCTACGTCGATTCCGAAAAGAGCGGCCAATTGACGGAGGCGATCCAGAATAATCCCAATTCCGTCGTCCTGTTCGACGAGATCGAAAAGGCCCACAGCGAGGTCTGGAACGCGCTCCTCCAGATCCTCGATTACGGCACAATGAAGGACGGGCAGGGGCAGAAGTTCGATTTCCGAGGCGCCGTCATCGTCCTGACGTCGAATGTCGGCCAGGGAGCGGTGATTGAGGGGATCCTTAAAGCCGACGACGGCGGCGACGGCGGCTAGGGTTCAGGTGATGATGGAGCTGAAGAGGACATTTAAGCCGGAGTTTCTGAACAGATTGGACGACATTGTGATTTTCAGGCCGTTGGTGCCGGGGGATTTGAAGAAGATCGTCGAGATCATGTTGAAGAAATTGGCTGAGAGGGTGGAGTGTGGGAAGGGGATTCAAATGGATGTGGATGAGGAATTGAAGGCGAAAGTCGCTGAAGAAGGGTACGATCCGAGCTACGGAGCGAGGCCATTGAAGAGGGCCATTATGCGGCTGGTGGAAGATACGCTGGCAGAGGCAATTTTGGATGGGAAGGTCGAAAATGGCGGCTGCATTACTCTGTTTCCGGACGGCCGCTACGAGGTCGATCACAAGAGGCCACTGCGTTTGGATAATGATGAAGAAGAAGATGTAGTAGTAAGTGAATCTCCGCCGCAAAAGAAAACAAAAGAAATTGGAGATCCTAACAAACAAGACGAAATTCCGGAACGATTACTAGAATCTAGCGATTCGTAGAGATGTATTAGGAGTAATTATCTCAGCTTTATTTCTTAATATTCTTTTTGGCTTCTAGTATTAGAGATGAACTCCAAAATCGAGTGAGATCCTCGTGATTTTTGGTTAACGACGGATAATATGATTTCAAGTCATAGCAACACACCCCCAATAACTTCAAAGAGGTTAAAACATTCTTTTGATTATTGTTCTTCCTAAAAAAACAGACATTGATTGATCGCAACTTAATCTCATAGAGGTAACCTATAAATATTGGCTACTGGCAATGCCTAACGTATGCATATGGGAGGATTCCGCTAAACATACTCATATATACAAACAAGATCAATTTGTCAATGTTATTTCATGCACTTGTTGATTTTTATAAACTATAGAAATCTATGGCAAGATTTTTCAATGAAAACATTAAAATTTCATGATAAATGAGTCAATATGATTATCGATATTTATGTTAACTAGTCATTAATAATTGTTGTTCGTTGATTTAAGAAATCTTAGGAGCTTTTAATGAAAATCATTGGTCAATCGATAATTTTGTTGATCACAATCCGAACCGTCCAATACACCATTGAGGCTAGTTCTTCTTTTTCCCTATCGGTAAATGAGGTTAGTTCTTTTTATATATGTTATACTTAGGGGTCGTTTGGAAGTTGCGATTGTCATTATACATGTATTGTTTACAATGCATCGTTTTTTGTTTGTTTTTTTAGCATAAACAATACATGGATTGTTTTATTGATGTGATAGAAACTATCACTCATTTTGAGTGATTGTTATATCTCAACTTTTAATTGTGATAAGCTTCACGTGTCCTAATTCTATAAGCTAATTACATTGACTAATAATGAAGAGAACCTAAACATTATCGTTCCTACTTATTCGTTACTTCTCAATGGATTAATGTAGAATGTTGTCGTTTATCTAACATACATTCACAAGCAACTCGTCTTCTTCCTTCCTTGGCAACAACAGTTTCATCATTGTACAATCCTTCAAGTTCAAGTTGCAATGTCCTGATTCCCCCAACCCCCAAACAAGCTGGTGAGTGTTGTCCTGGATATGCTCAGCTTGCTCATAAGTTAGATGAATAGTTGAAATGGGGTGCAGATTAATCAATCAATTCTCCAACCTCATTACATGACAATCAACTTCGATGTGCTTCGTCTGCTCATGAAATTCTTGATTTCGTGCAATATATATAGTTGATTGACTGTCACAAAAGACTATTGTTGATTGTGAATGATACCAAAGTCTGAAAGGAGTCTCACTAACCACTAAATTTCACAACTCAAATGAACATTGGCTGGTGCATCTTGGAATTGAGAAAGTTCTAATTTGTGAAGGTGAGTCTGGTCTTGTACTAGTAAAGTACTAAAATTGACCAAACACATATAAAGTTGCTAATGTCCAAGTAAGGATCACCATCCTTTGGAATAACTTGATTAACGCTAGCGAGATGGAGTTTTAGCTGACTTGCAATCATCAAAATCAGCTTCCTTCAAATCTAACCTTCACAAAAACATAATCCAAGGAAACTATTAATCCACCCTTAAGACAATATCAAACTAGAAAGTCTAGAAAATGCTTCATACACAATTCATTACCATGAAGTACTAATTTTTTTTATGAGACATGAAGTACTAAAATTGATTCAAAGTAAAGCTAACATTGTTAGAACACTAAACCAATAAAAGCATAAATAAAACGAAGACAGTAATCGCAACAAACTATTTCGTTACAAAAAATACAACTTTTGTCATGACCTAGATGAGAATTCGCCATTGCCACTTGATGACTTGATATATACACATGTTTTTGTCCACCATTCTTATACCGTTTGAGCCTCATTTCTCGTATCTTAGGCCGATTTCACGCTAGGTTGTTCTTGTTTGTGATATTTCAGGTCCTAGTATGTGAATGGAGGTTTGGGAACGAGTTTGGGGTCGATTAGACGAAGATTGGACGTTTGGCGAGAAGCTGAGGAAACCACACGACCAGACCTAACAGCCAAACGGCCGTGTGGTGTGGCCGTGTGGAATTCCTTTGCGCGGGCAAACCACACTGGCCGTGTACCGGGTCCCTTGAGGCCGTGTGAAAATCACAGAGATGTTGCACGGGCAGGCCGAGATTTCACACGGCCGTGCAGTTCTGGCTGTGTGACGTGCATGAAACCACTTAAGTGAAACATGACGTTTTACATCTCTACACGGGCAGCTGGGATTTCTACACGGCCGTGTGGTCGGGAAATTCTGGGTTTTAACCCAATTTCGGGTCTTTTGGAGAGGAATCGAGTTTTGAGCAAAAAACAGAGCTTTAGAGAGAGAAAGTGCGAAGAACAAACCCTAGGAGTTATTTGGAGTGAATTTCTCACCATTGAAGCCCAGATTGCATCCCCAGGAGTGAAGATCGACATCCCAGAGAAGATTATCCCCATCTTTATGAGTATGGATTTCTGTTTTCCTCTCTCTCTCTATGGAGTAGAACCTTTTCTCACTTGGGTATGAAGAACCCTAGTTCCATGTGTTAGGAATCTTGATTGTAATGACTTGGGAATGATATACTAATTGATTTTAATCGATTGATGCATGATTCATTGAGTCAATTGAAGCCTGATAATCTTTTCTTGATTTTTGCTGCAACCTAAGATAGATAGAATCTGATTAGGATGTTAGAGCTTCATCAATCGGTAGTAGTAGGTTGGTTATACGAGAGTTAATTGATTCACTGCTTTGTACTGGAATCCAATTCCAGTAGTGGAGTTCTGTGTTTATTGCCTCAGCAGTCTATCCCGGTGAAGGCTAGTCGCCTGGCGGTTAGTCTGCCTGAGAGGGCTTGGTCAGCTTAAGAGATTCCAAGCTACTGTCGGATCTTCCGCAGTTTAATCAACAGTTAATCAACCCAGAGTAATTACAACCTTGACCTAACTAAGGAGCTATGGGGACTTATTCCCGAGTGACTCTTCCCTTTAAAAAGAACTTCGAACCATTTCATGCTTTCTTACTGCTTTTACTTCAAATCACAATCAATCGACTTAGTTTGCTAGATATTAGATAATCACGGAGTAGGCAGTAGATCTAGACCCCGGGTTGACAAATGCCACTTTACTGCATTTCCGGACTGCGATTACACTTGGTCGTAGTTTGGTGTTGTGTTTTAGCGTGTCAAGTTTTTGGTGCCGTTGCCGAGGACTTCTAGTTATTGTGGAAATGTGAAAGTTTGTTACTCTAGCTTTTTCTTTACTACATTCTCTCTCTTCCACCTTTGTGCCTTCACGGGTTGTGTTTGCATTCTGTGTGCAGGTAGTGCATTACGCGTAGCCAGTCGGGAGATTTACTACCATTAGACCAAGAGCTTGAACGGACTTGTAGGAACTTCAAGCGGTCTTTAGAAGCGCGACTGGCTGCGGAGGAGGCTCTAGCACAACTGCAAAACACCAAGGAGGAAGAAATGGGTGAACCACAGAAAAATGATGTGGTCATTCCCGAGGAGCAGACCATGGAGTATTACTAGAACACCAGAGCCACGATCATGAGGTCGCCCATCCAACACCCTCAAGTTCCAGCAAATAACTTTGAGTTGAGCACCTCTGTCATCACCATGCTGAGCGGCTCGGTGGTATTCTGTGGCAAGAAGGGGGAGTGCCCCCTATCACACCTGAGGCGATTTCACGAGCTCATGGATGGGATCAAGATCAATGGGGTCCCAGCCAATGCCATCCAACTGAGGTATTTCCCATTTACTTTGGAGGGGCAAGCCAAGGAGTGACTGGACACTCAACCTCCAGGCTCGATCACCACGTTCGCCAACCTGGCGGACAAGTTCCTCACCCGCTACCATCCTCCGTCCAAGACAGCGGACCTGCAGAAGCAAATCACCCACTTTGCCCAGGATGAAGATGAGACCATCCGAGATGCTTGGGAAAGATACACCAGTCTTTTCCTTAAGTGTCCCAACCATGGTTTTACTGATGCCTTCAAGGTGGGCACCTTCTACCATGCCCTCTTCCCGAAAGACAAGCAGCTGATTGACTCGGTTTGCGGCTGGAATATGCTCACCAAGACACCGCCACAGCTGAATCAACTCTTTGAAGAGATGGCAGAGCATGGATATGATTGGGGAACTGCGAGGAGATCGAGATGAGCACCAGGGCGGGGTGTGCATGCTGTAGCCACCCTGTCCTCTAATTTGGTGCAGGTGGTATCTAAACTGGTTTCAGCCATCAATCGCTCTGGGACGATTTCAGGTGCAGTACAGCAGCAGGCGATGCACTTCCAGTGGTGTGAAAGCTCCCATCACACCGTGGAGGACTGTCAGGCGATGAGGGAGTCGAATACTCTCCAGGAGTAGGTGGACTTCATCGGCAATGCCAGGCGTTTCGACCCCTACAACAACACTTATAACGAGGGGTGGCGCCAACATCCCAACTTCTCCTAGAGTGAGACCAATCCTAGACCACTAGTCTCCCAGGGAGCTCCAGGCTTCTAGAGGCCTCCTTACC